GCAAAACCAACACAAAAGCTTATGCAAATTATTCCTTTTCTGTCATCTTTATCATGCATGTGTGCATACAAACATGTGAGAAGTATAAAGAATGCATTTCAGAAATGCAATGGAAATAATTAGGACAAAGCAGGCATACTCTCTGGTGGGTCATGTAACCCTGTCCCAAGAAACAAGCATGAGATAAATTATAATTGTGCTCCTGAGGCATTGTTGTGAAGTTTAGGAGGCAAAGCAACACTGCAGTGCTGTGCACTAGGAGGGAGCATGGCTGTTAGTGAGCCTATAATGAGTGTAAGAGACAAAACTTATCATAAATTGAAGACCTGCAACCTGCTCTCTGATCTTCTCTTCATTACTTCAAAATATCTTTGTGACTAGTACTAATAGATTAAAAAAGAAGGCTAGGCTGACTCTGTGTTTGAACCAAATAAAACACTCAGGCCAATGTACTTCTGTAAAGCCCCTCTGAAAAGGACCAGATGAGGGAGACAGTTTTGGGCAAGTGGCATGAATTTGCAAGGAAATAGTCCTTCTGGAAGGCTGTACAGCATTAGAGTTGGCAAGTGCTGTGCATACTGGCACACTGCAACTTCTGTCAAAAACAGCAAATCTTTGAACACCAGCTGATCAGGGATTTTCAGGGCTATCTTGTCTAGCTTGAACAGGCCTGGCAGCTCTTAACACAAAACTAGTGTCTGGGTTAAAGACCTTCTGCTTTGTGATGCCTTTCTGAATAGCTTATTCAGCTGGAAAATACAGTGAACAAAGGAGCTGGAAATATATTGTCAAGTTGGTGATCTCACAGTCCAGAGAGCCAGCTACCAATTATAAAGACTTCTATTGTATAACACAAGAGCTAGTGTATAGAAAACTCCAGATCTTACTCTATCTCTTTCTTTATTAGCTTCTGCATAATTATTTTTGCTTAAAGGATGGTGTGAATGTGGCTGTGGGGTGTGTTCTCAGTAATTAAGTACACTTTTCTGGTAGACTAGGTTGAATAGTAAAAAGGAGTAACTTTTTTAAACTTTGAACTTGATTTCTGACTTGGGATTAGGAGGAAGGGAAGCCTACAGAGTTTGGTGATTAAGTTTTTACAACTAAATGCAGCAAACAAGTAGTATTGTTTCTATGGAGGGTGGGAAGAGGGAAGAGTGCCCCCTGTTAGTTTAGTAGAGATGTTGGCAGGAAACTGCATTATTTCTAAAGCATTAGATTAACCACAGTATATAGTGGTCTCAAAAATAGACACAGCAAACCTAGTGAAAGGAATTATTAGTACAAATAAATTTTTTGATGTTATTTTGCTATTTGTTTTCATCTAGGCGTTACAATGAAATTCTGAATCTTAAGTATGGCTTCTTTCTCCTGCAGGTTGGAAAAGAGACTGTGCAGACAACAGAAGACCAGATCTTGAAAAGGGATATGCCACCAGCGTTTATCAAGTAAACTCATTTTATTGTACATCTTCTATTGTAGGTACAGGAAACCTGTTCTAATGATAGATCACTGTTACTCATTTCTGCTGTACAGGTTAGAAAATACTTGTATGTTTGAATAGCTCTTTGGGGTCTTGAGGCTGACTTTTGTCGGGAATGACCTTTCTGCCAGCAGTGACTTTTCCTGTTACGTTCTGTATATATGGATACATATCTAGGGTTTTTCTTCCTTTAAAAATAAAAAAAATTCAGAGTAACAACTGCTGTTGTAGTTTTGCCTAACAGTGTGAGAAAGAACATGATATTGTCAATCTTTTCTATTAATTTGGTTGGCGGAAAACTAAATTTATCAGTATAGGCAGCTGATGCATGACATAACTGCCTGGAAATCCAAGATGTTTGAAGAGCAGTGATGGGCACTCTTAATTCCCTGGCCACTGACAACCTTTCACTGAAGTGACTTTGCCCTACAACCTATTGAATGTAGTGTGACCTCTCTATTAGCATTGTCCAATGTGTACAGAATGACTGAATGTTTTACTGTATTCCCAAACACAAAAGAGGCATATAGTCAAAACAAGAAAGCATTGAGGCAACTAAGAAAATACTAAAAAGGAGAACAGAGATGATCTTTAAAGAGAAAATTTGTTAGGCAGTGAAAACAGATTTAGTTTGTTGCATTGTAGGTTGACAAAATGAATAATAAAAAAAGCCTAGAACCAGCTAGTATTAGTGTAACAGTTCAAGAATGAAATAGCTGAATTATTAGTGAAACACAGTGTCTCACTTGAGAACACCTGATATGTCAGGCTAGGGAAATCTGGGGAACAGGATGTCTATAGGTCTGACATACCTTTGGAGCTATTGACTAGAAACTTTATACTAGAGAAGAGAATTAACAGAGCTTAAATACATACAGTTTGCTTTGGGTGAATTGACTGTTTCTGTGGAGGGAAATTCTGCCTTACAAATCTGTTGATGTCCTTAGAAATATCACAAACAAGGATAAAGGTAATCCAGGTGATACAGTATACACTGATTTCCCAACTTGTTGGCAGTCTGAAGACTTTTAAGAAAATAAAGTAGCCACGAAATAGTAAGAAAAGTTCTTGTATGGAAAAGAGAAAGTGAAAGGAAAAATTACATGGTTAACCCTGGCATTGGTAGGGCTCTGGGGATCTCTGCTGGGATTGTGCCCTGGAATTGTGCTTTTCGCCATGTTCACAAATGCCCCAGAAACCAGGATGAGTTGGGAGTGGAAAGTACTTGCTGAGGAACTGAAGCCTTACATTGAGGTAGTGAGATTAATGGACAACTTGGAGAAATTACAGCAGGACCTTATTAAACTGAGTGATTTGATATTGTGTGGGTTAAATTATTTTGAAAGATCTGAAATGATGCACACATGGGGGAGCAGCAGGTCTAGTGTCAGGTTGATTGACTCTGAACTGATCATTACCAATAGTGAGCAGAGTCTTGGAGCTGTGATGTGCTGGTGACAATATCCATTATATGTTCAGTAGTGGTCAAAAAGTAACCCAAATGTTAGGTTTATCAGCAAAGAGTGAGACACCAAAATGTCACTGTATATTTTTCTCCCACACTTTGAATACTGCATGCACTTGTGGTCTCTAAATTTTAGAAAGGCTGTAGTAGAACTGGAAAAAGCTTGTAGAAGGACTTTGAGAACAAGGAAAGGTATGGAATTGCTTTTGTATAAGGCAAAGCTAAGTAGGCTGGTACTTTTCAGCCAGGGAAAGGTGACAGAGGGGACTGAGGCCCTGGCAAAGGTCTAAGAAATCATGAGTTGCATAGAGAAGATGGAAGCTTGCACTTCTCTTCCTGTATGAGAACTTGATTGGGGCATTGCTTTAAGATAGAAGTTTATAAACCAACAATAGGGAGAACTTCTTTGTATCACAAGTCATGTACCATTAAAATTCTTTATATAGGTTTGGAGGTTAATAGATAAGAACCTGGAGGAACCCATTGTGGGTTTTATCAAATTCAAACTGCAGGAAATCCCAAGAACTGAAAATAGTTGGAGGATGGGAGACCACCCAGAGGAAGTATGATAAATGCTTATCCTGTTCTTAACCTTCCTTAGACATCTACTTGCAGCTACTTCAGAGACAGCATACTGGAGCTAAATGGGCCTTTGATACAATCCACTACAGTACCTATTATGCTGTGTTCTGGGTGTGTGATCTTGTTTGGGTGTAGGGGAGGTTGATTTTTATTTTCTTTCTTGAGGGGAGTGTTTATGTATTGAAATGAAACTGAAACTTTTTCTTGCTTCTTGATGAGTTGTATACAAACATGTAACTTTGATTGTGCTGACTTTCTAGAATGTATAGAGTTTTTAATTAATTTCCAGCTTCTTGTTCACCTAGACAAGTAAGGTATAAGGAAAAGAGATTTTCTTAATTGCTATGCTGTAACCAGCCTTTGTTCAACACTTCACATATTGTGGATACTTAAACAGTTAAATTACTGTAGAAATGTGATACAAGCACTGCTGAATAGTACCACCTCATTCTGGCTGCAAGAACCTTTTCTGCAGCAATTCATGACTGCTTGAACTGTGATATAGTGAAAAAGGGGAAACAAAGCTATCTGTCACAGTAATGAAACCTACTTCCTGCAGCACTTGCTTACTATCCTAGATGCAGTAATATGAGTTAGGAATCTTCAGTGGCCTTTGTGAAAGATAATCCATTGCATTTGTTGCTTTTTGTTAATCTGGAGTTTATATCAAAATGTACTAGTATGTGTTAACAGTTCCTTGTCAACACTATGGAGTGTACTGTCACTGGTATCTGTATTGTAGGGACAAGTGACAGTCACAGGTGAGCTGACAAGGGAGTCTTACCTGTTCCTGCATTAAAGGGCAGGATTTGGATTGAGGAAGTGAAACAAATGAGGGTGGGTTTTTGTTTTATTTTTCTTTCCTGAGAGGAGGGTTTTTGTTTCTAAAGTGTTAGTTCAGGAATTGGCATTCTTTAAGGGAGTGTTCCAGCAACTGGACCACATGGATGATGGGATAAGGAACAGTGCACATGTGCTAGCACTGCACTCCCTGTCAGTATTTTTGCCAATCAAAAGGACCACCAATCTTCAGGGAACCACTCTTGGAGAATGAGGGAGACTTTTCAAAGACTTGGGTTTTGACTTGCCTGAGACTGGCATTGAGGGTTCATAATAAATATATATGATGGTAATCTCTACAGTTTTTCAGGAGGAGTATGATTGTGCAGCAAAATAATTAATTGGCTGCTGAGAAGCTATTAGCATCCCTTTGCTTGCTACTGACATAGACCACATTGAAACTATTGACCTAGAGTTAAAAAATGCTGTGTTCTTTATCTTAATTGTCTTTATCATCAGGGAGTATGAGTATTATATATAATGAAAATCAGATGTTTTGCCATGTGCTCATATTACTTGTTACATGTCTCTTGTAAAGAAGGAAAAAGCTGTAATCTCTAGGTAAAGAATAGGGTAACACCTGATTTGTTTACACAGAATGAAAATTTGTCTGCATCTAACTTGCACATGCAAACTCATTTAACAAATCAAGCAATAATGCTATTCTATATTAACATTATTTTGGTTACTAAGCTGGAACTGCATTGCCTCTAACTGTATTCAATGAATTTTAATATAAAATATTTGCTTTTTAACCTATTTCTAGAACTGCAAGTAATCTAAACTCTAGTGAGTTTACTTACTACAACTTAAGCGATTAGAAATTGAAATGAGCATTATTCAAGCATCAAAGACTTTATTTGGCATTGTTGGGCAGGCATCTCTGGGAAAAGCAGAAGTCAAGCTGAAAACCAAAACTGGTAGTTTCGCATAAGCTAAACTTTTTTCCTCACACTTTATAAAGAAGACACTAACAAGAATGAAACTGGTTGACTACTGACAAGAATATGGTTGGAAATATCATGACCTGTGTCTTCTCCACAAAGAACTTGGCTGGTGTTAACGTAGCTTTATTGCAATCATGCCTCAAAAATAAATATGCATTTTTATCAAGCTGTGGGTTTTTTTAGGTTGCAATATAATACAGGGAATAGAAAATTCACCATAGCAACGAACACTTATTTAGAACTTTTAAATGTGTTTGATTCTTGTGATCGATCAAGTGGTTTATTGCAGTAAGTGTTTTGTCTTTTTTTTAATTTAAAGTAATTGAATTACTTTTTTTTCCCAAAACTCTGATCTCTTAGCATGCATGCTTTGCAGGGGATGGAAGATGTCTGGTTTTTAAGCACCACTCTGCTTTCTGTACATTGCACACTCCTGAAGTCTTTCAAATGCATTGGGAAGTGAATACAAAATAGACACTGTACAAGTAAAATGCAAGTTTACCTTTCAGAGGTAATGCTAAAAACTAAAAAAAAGTTCAATCTTTAGAAACATTATTTTTAGTTGTGATGACTTCTGGGATAATAAACACTTATGTTAATTCCTTTCTTGAGAAATGAAAAAGCCAGCCTTGAGATAATCATTAGTATTAAACAGATGACCATGAAATTGAACTGTAGGAAATTAAGTATTTCTGAGCCTATAGTTCTGAGCAGGCTGAATAGGTGATTTGTATAATCCCTTTCTTGGCAGAGTTGAAAAGAATAAATTTGAGAAGCAAGCATGGAAATCTAATTTAGTGAAGTCAGTTGACTTTGATAATACAACTAAGTACACTGCATAGTGATGAGCAGACTGTTCCCACTTTCTGCCTTGAAGTAATCCTGTATTTTCTTGCTCAGTTATGAGTTACCACCACCTGATGCGTTGAGCAGATGTCTCACTAAGGAGCAGGTTATGATAAGGTCAGCTGGCCCAATTTGATCTACTTTAGGGAGCCATTAGCTGAAAACTTTACTTTCTGAAAAAAGTATGTTTTCCTGTAATGAGTGTCTTATTTCTAGCATAGTTAAATTTAGATGTAATCATTAACTTCTGCTATTTGTGTTAACAAGGAACATAGGGGACAAAATGGGATAACTGCGTAACTTTCCAATAGTACTTAACTGAATGTTTGACAAAAGAGTGTGTCCAAGTGGTCAGCAGAAAATGGTCTGTATGATAAGCATGAAAAAGTTGTGATAAGATGTAGTATTGCTGTAATAAAAGGGTTTAATGTTTGTTGGAACCTTGTGTAACTTGAATGAGCACATGGCACTTGCACACATAGAGGTACCTATAATAATGATAATGTATAAAACATGTGATGGCCAGCACTATTGCTTACCCCCCTGCCCCACCCCAGCTGATGACTGCACTTCAGGAACTAGCTGGGCATTGCTCTTGGCCATCTTTGTCCAAGTTATATACAGAGCATGATGTAATGTGGTATGAAATATCCCTTTGGTCAGTTGGGGTCAGCTGTCCCAGCTGTGTCCCCTCCCAACTCCTTGTGCACCCTCAGCCTCCTCACTGGCAAGGCAGTATGAGAAGCTGAAAAGTCCTTGGTGTGTACATTGCCTGGCAACAACCAAAGTATCAGTGTGTGTCGTGGTTTTACCCCAGCCAGCAGTTGGGCACCATGTAGCTGCTTGCTCACACACATCCCCCCCCAACAAGATGGGGGAGAGAATTGAAAGAGTGACAGTGAGAACTCATGGGTTGAGATAAAGACAGTTTAATAGATAAAGCAAAAGCTACATGTACAAGGAATTCATTCACCGCTGCCCATGGCAGGCAGAGGTGCAGCCAGCTCCAGGAAAGCAGGGCTCTATCATGAATAATGACGGTTACTTGAGAAGACAAATGCCATCACTCAATGCTGCTGCCCTCCTCCCCTTCCTCTTCTTCCCCAATTCCCTTGTATGTGAAGTATGATGTCATATGGTATGGAATATCCCTTTGGTCAGTTGGGGTCAGCTGTCCTGGCTGTGTCCCCTCCCAGCTTCTGCACCCCCAGCCATCCTGCTGGTGGGGCAGTGTGAGAAGTAGAAAAGGCCTTGACTCTGTGTAAGCAACACAACTCTGTGTAAGCAACAACTCCCTGAGCAACAACAAAAACATCTGAATATTATCAACACTGTTTCCAGCACAAATCAAAAACATAGCCCTATACTAGCTGCTGTGAAGAAAATTAACTCACTCTCAGCTGAAACCAGGATAGTGTATTATCAACATTATTCTCACCCTAAATCCAAAGCACAGCACTATACCTGCTACAAGGAAGAAAATGAACTCTATCCCAGCTGAAACAGGACATAATACAGACAAACTAATCCACAAACTTTGACTTCCCACAGAGTGGAGAATGCCTGCACCAAACTTGTTCGGGCAGCCCAGATGCTGCAAGCAGATCCTTATTCAGTACCAGCTCGTGACTATCTAATTGATGGATCAAGAGGCATCCTTTCTGGAACGTCAGACTTACTTCTGACATTTGATGAAGCAGAGGTAGGAATTCCAACATAACTGACATAGGTATCTGCACAATAGCATTATTAATTCAAATATCCACCTAACTGAATTAACTATTCTAAACTATTGAGTAGATGAATGTGGGTTTGATTGTTTTAGCTTGATTGGAAGCATATTTTGCATTCTTTTCTGTCACATGGAGCTTAGGCTTGTTGCTCTGTTTTGTTAAGAGCATCTTTGCATGACATAATATTTAGGCGTTGCCTGTGATTATTTCTCAAAAAGGCCAGATCCCATCAACCCTGTCTTATACCTTCCTGATGCTTTTCTGTATTCCTTTCACCATACCCATTACTGATCCTTATATTCTCTGTATCCCTTTGCTGAAAAGCCCCAGGTCACTTCTGAACGTGTCTGCCTGACTCATTAGCTGCGGCAATTTAATTGGCCTTGGGGCATGGGAGGTAATACAAGTTTGGACTGTCTGGCTGGTCAGCCAGGAGTGTTCTGATAGATGTAACAGTTGGTACGCTTTGGCTGCTGCATAAGCAAAAAAGCGGCTCAGAGGTGCTGTTTTTCTGTCCTCAGATGGACAAAAAAAGGCCAGAGTTGCAAGGAAACTTAGAAAGGAGGTTTTGAGTGTCTTATATTTGAAAATGTTCCTTTGTTACAAATCTTATTCTTGTGATCCTCTTTCTGGCAATGTGGAGTCTTGCTCATTTCTAATTAGCAAATATCATGCTATTATGAGGAAATGAAGCTCACGAGGTTAGAAGTGCTGATGTTAATTCTAAATTTTACCCATGCAACAATCTGTTAATCTATGAAATTGTATTACTCTTCCTGTTGTTCTGAGTAGTCTAACATGGCATCTTCGTGTCTCATTTAATCAGCTCGTGCTGCTGTTAGCATGTTCCTTTGAAACAAGGAGAATGCTATGGGATTTCCCTGTGGCACTTGTGATTGCACGCTATTTTAAGTGATTTTTTTTTTTAATAGATACTACAAAGTGTTATAGGATAGAATTGCAAGGAAGTTAATAGCTTTTAATCTCCCTGCTTCCAGTGGTTAGGAAATGAGTTGACTTCTGTGGAGTTTAACGCTTCATTGAACTAGTCTCTGACAACTGCATGTTAACCAAAAGAAAAATATTGCCCTGGAATGACTGACTTTTCACAAATACAAAACTTGGCACATCTCTATCCTGCTGTGTTTCGCGATAAACTAACATTGGAATAAAACGGAAATGAGTTTTAGAGGAAACTGGTCTGTTGTGGGGACTGAACACTGCACGTAGTTGATACAAATTAAACGTTAACTAACTCCTTCCTCAGTTAGAATTGTATGTGGTGTCAGAAATAATGTGGTTCAGGAGCTTAGAAGATCAACTAAGAGAACTCTGTTTTGGAATCAAGTACAAACTGAAAAAGTTAAGCTGAGGCAGATGTCCAGTGGTAAATACAGTCTTCACAGATTTTTCTGGAAAGCTTAAGATGTTGGATCTACTTTTCCCACTGGAATGCTGGATAATGCTTTATCCAAATGTAAAGCTGTGTGGTGAATAATATTTCCTCTGAAAGCTTGGAATTTGCTTTCTATGTATTTTTGTTTTGTGATTTAAGTTAAATATTCACAAAATTGCAATGAAAAACTTCAAGCATGCCAGCATACTTAAATGCCTGTCCTTATAACCTATTTTCTCAATGCTATCCTTCATTTATCATACGAAGTGAGAACACTGGAACTAGGATTTTGCATTTCTGAGTAGTGGAATGCTGATTAAATATTGTCTTTGTCAATACAGCACTCCTGAGTAATGGCATTGTGGGTAACTTAATCAGTATCCCAGACCTTTGTGAATGACCATATGTCATGTTAGCAAATGCTATACCTATTCTGTTCTAATAATAGGCTTACATTTCTAATTGAAGTATAACTTAGCTTCCTCTAATAAATGATGGAATGTTTCTTTTTTTTAGGTCCGTAAAATCATCCGTGTCTGCAAAGGAATATTGGAATACCTGACTGTGGCAGAAGTAGTAGAGACTATGGAAGATTTGGTGACATACACAAAGAATCTAGGGCCAGGTTTGATTTGCTTCAGCCTATCATAAACATACTAAGTATAGTCTTTTCCACTGCCTCCTTTTCCCCCCAGCACCTTCCTCACTCAAGTGTCGACTGTTTGGATAATGATAAAGCAGTTGTTTGAAAGTGTCTGTTGGAAAAGAGTTTTAAACTAGAGAGTGAATGATGACTATTTTCTGATTCACACTGTCTCTTAAGAATACAGAAGAGTCGAGGTGTTGGTAAATATGTACTACACAGATGATATATACTGTACTTTTCCTACACTGTATTATATGAGGGAAGTAAGCATGCATGAGTGAGAGTAAAACAAATAAACAAAGTTGTGTAATTAAGCACTCATAGCTATAAAGTCCATTAAGCCAATAAAATGTCTGTACTGAGATGGTTAGGCCCAGTAGGAATTTCTTGGGGTAGTGTAAGCTACATGTCATATATTAACATCTTGATAAGGTTGCAGAAATAGCTGTCTGGCAGTACAATACGAAAGCACAGCTGCTACAAAAATTCTTTTTGTTCACTACTTGATGCTCCTTCACCACTTGTTACCTCACTGTGTTAACTCACACTTTCACTGGTGGAAGTAAGTGATTGGTAAGTGAAGCACTGGGTTGCTATAGAGGAAATCCACCATTAATCTCTGCCATCTACTACTGCAAATGCTTTAGTTTCAGCAAGCATAAAGTAGTTTAGGTATTTAACAAAAGCATTCTATAAAATCTAGATGTTGAAGTGGTAATGTACAAAGATGTTGGAATTAAAGTTACACTGAACTAAAGAATGTTTTTATAAACAGAACAGGAATCTAGTTAGTACTTATATATATAAAGAATACATATGTAGCATAAGAATATCTAGCTCATAAATGAAATGACTAGTAGCTCTTATGTCATGTGTTTGGATTATTCTGTTTTTATTGAACATGTATACTTTACCCTGTTTCTAGATGTGAAAAACTAATTTTTGTATGAAGGTAAAGTGTTCTCTAAACTTTGTCCTGTGAGGTTAACTTCAACTGAATAGATTTTGCCTCATTTTGAACAGGAAAAATGGAGTAAAAAGGGCAATCTTCTCTGTCTGTGAAACTTGTTCTTTTACTTGGTATACAATTGCAGTTTCTCTGTGGTCATTGTATTCCATGTCTTTAAAGTGGAAGTTTCCCCAAACTTCACTTTATTTGGCTCAGTCACAAGCCTTTGGGACTTTTCATTGAACATAATTTGGTGTTACGTGTGTATGATAGAGGTAATAGGGGTTGGGCAAGTGTCTTAATTTCTTAAAGTAGGCTTGTACCTTTATTGCAAATAATCTTCTCTAAACTTACGCTGTTCTGAATCAGTAGCTAATCTTGTGCTTCTGGCATGTTCTAGAAGCACTGTCTTTGCCTCAACTAAATGCTGCTCAACACTTACAGCCCATGCCCACAAAACTTTTTATGCCTGTAGTCCTTGTTCCCTTCAGCTGTATCAGTGGGCATCTGAACTTAATGGTTAATGTAAGCACTATATAAATAACAGAAATATGAGCATGTACACCTAAAATCAACAAAGTTCTTGTAGGCTTTATGTTGGAAGCAGAGAGAACATGATTACCTATTTAGGCTTTTGTCATTGAAAGGAAAGGTGGTTCTGCACAGCTTACCCTTCTATGCTGTCAGTGTGGTGATTCTACTACTTTTTAGTGTTGTAATTAAAGCTCATTTAATCTTTTTCTTATATTAAGATGCTAACCAGCAGAAAAGTAATTCAGCCAAAGAGTATACAGCTTTCTTCCAGCTTTGTCCCCTGTAGGAGGAGGAGTGGGACCAAACCAGCACCAATTTAAATCAGCTTAATTTTTTATGGAGCTGTGTCTAAAATTTCCACATGTGCTGTGTGGTAAACCTTACAAGTCTTAGCTATTGAAAATAGTTTTGCTCTAGAATAAATCTAATTCTTTCCATACTTCTAGAGCACTGAGATAGTTCTAGCAGAACTGAAGTATAAATAGATACAATTTTTGAACTCTGGTAGAATCTCAAGGCAAACAAACTGTAAACAAACTCCTGATGTTTCCTTTATCTGCCATTCACAATTAAGGCTTTGATCAAGTCTTAACAGAAAAGAAGAAAAACCCCTGTAAATTAGCTTCCAGAGTTCATGAGGTGACTTCATGTCCAAAAGTAGTAATTTCAGGTATTTTCCTATTTTATTGCTGGGATTTTTAAATCAAGAATTTTGAGGATTCCATTCTGCTTTGCATAGTGGTTAGGTTTTGAATCAGTGGCTTCTCTGAAGCATCTGGAATGCATTTTAAGTAACAGCTGCTAATATGAAAATTAAGTTTTAATCTTCAATATAGTTGTCATAACTCATTATGCTTTGTTCCTCTTTAGAAAGCTCCACTGCTGCAAATTAGACTTAATATTACATTTATTTATGACTATGTTTAATTACTTTACTCTTTAGGAATGACAAAGATGGCCAAAATGATTGATGAGAGACAACAGGAATTAACTCATCAGGAACATCGGGTTATGCTGGTAAACTCCATGAATACTGTGAAGGAGCTACTACCAGTTCTTATTTCAGGTATTTTCGGCTTTAATTTTTAATATCACTCTGAATTGCTGTCTGTTTTGAGCTGGAGTTCCAATGTCTTATGTTTATTAAAAATAACAGCCTTGACATTGCTTCTGTACTGATTGCAAATAACTGTGCTTCTTGTATTAAAACTACAATCTCCTTGAGATAAAATGGTCCATGCAAAATAAAATCTACTACCACTGTATTAATGCAATAGGAGGTCACCTTGAGCATTGATCATATCTTGCGTGTACCATTTTCTAATCTATGGTATTTTGACAGCTATGAAGATTTTTGTAACCACGAAAAATTCTAAAAGCCAGGGAATAGAAGAGGCATTGAAAAATCGCAATTTCACAGTAGAGAAAATGAGTGCTGAGATAAATGAAATCATCCGTGTATTACAACTCACTTCCTGGGATGAAGATGCCTGGGCAAGCAAGGTACGTGTCACACCTACATTTGTACATTGAAGTCCAATTTTTATCTACTGTGGTATACACTTCTGTTTTTGAGACTGTTGAAATATGTATTTGTGCATCAGTTTTGTAACGCTTCGTAATCACATCATATAATCTCTTCAAGGTCAAAAAACATCTTCAGAGATGGTTGTATTAATGTATTTTTCAAAATTAGCTTTCGATAAGCTAAGTGAAAGGAGTGTGACATCTGAAGGTAGCTCAGTGGCTACACAATCATATTTGACAGAAAAGTTAGTTACAAAGCTATCGTTTTATATGTTAAACTAGTCTTGTAGCTAGGCGTTTATAAGTGAGATTACCTAAGGTTTTTATCCTAGATATGACTAGAAAAGATAGGTTGCTGTCATATTCCTTGTGCAAAAGGCCTGAAGTTGAGAAGTTTTAGTCAATTTTTGGTGATTGCTCCTTAGATGCTTGTCCTTTTTCCCCTGCCCCATTTCTAGTCTGGGAGTAAAATTGTTTGCCTTGTCTCAAAGCAACGCATGCTGGTTTGAACAGCCTTGCTGGAGAAGTATGATGTCTGCGAAGCTGACATATGGACAGTATTGGTTCCATACAACTCAGTGTTAAGCTGTGTACATGACTGCAACCACTTACCTGGAGTGAAGTGTCCCCCTTAAGTGGTACCCACCAAAGATACTGAAAGGTCTAGCAGACCATAAAGCAGATCTGACAGGCAGACTTGTAAAAGTGTTATTGTGGGCTTACACATAAATGTAGCTGCATAACTGAAATTCCTCCCTTTTTTTTTAGTACCTTGAAGTAAATTGCTGAAGGGATTTTTTTTTAAGGGTTAGTGCTGTGAGCAACAAGTAACTGTAAATATATTGAAAGAAAATATTGAGACCTGATGCCAGATTTATTAACAAATGAAATCTTGTAGAAAATCTAACACTGATATTATCTAGGCATTAAAATCACTTTGGCCTATATTGTTTGGCACTTGACCCTTAGTTTGCCTTTTGAGTTATTTTGTCACTATCACTTCCTTATTATGACTACTTTTATGCATCTTTGTTTTTATTCTCCTGTTTCTTACCCTTTTCTCACCTTTAGAAGGTAAGCTTTCTTCCACACCCTACACATCTACTTTGTACTAAAACCAAAAAAAAGCATGTATGTGGGATTTTGTGCTGTGTGCAGACTGTGTGCTGTGCAACTTTTTATTTGTGTGCCAGCTGTGACACCCTACTTATGTATATGCACACGTGGAAGTTCTAAAAGGAACTTAATAGCTCTGTCTAGCTATATGTAGAACTGGCTGTCACTAAAAGAATGGTGATTGCAAGCTGAACTGCATTATGATTGTCTTTCTGAGTCTGACTAGAGTTAGCCCAAGATTTTAGAGCACATTCTTACTGAATGTTTTTGTATTAATTTATGTTACTAGTCTCTATAGCTACAAATAAAGGGTCCAGTCATGCAGGAACAAGCTTTCTGCATGCCCAGAAAGCTTTATTAAATCAGGAGTTTTGTCCATTCCATAGTACTTCACCAGCAGCCTTCCTTCAATTCAGATGGTTCAGGCTCTTAAGGTCTAGGGCTAAACCTTCAATTTCATATGTTTTATTTTTGGATTCAAGCATTCCTGTATCTCACAAATGCAGTTTTATTCTACACAACAAATTTGGAAATTTTCTTGGTAAAAAAAGACTGTTTCATATAGTTGGCAATTTAGCCATAAGGAAATTCTTACTTCTCTTGCTAGCAAGGCAGATTAATAAAGGATTTTATTAAGAAAATAGCTGGCATATTAGCAGTATTTTCAAATGGAAAATACTGGCCATTATGCATAATACACAAATGTGTTGTGTGGACTAGTATAATCAAAGTATCCTTCTGTTCTGAGTTGAGAACTTTTAAATTGTTTTGGTTTCTTGAATCAAGGTATACTGACAATTTGGAACTGTAGCACTAGACATTAACTAAATAGTTATGAAAAAGAATTTGAATTGAAAAATGCAGTGGGGTGAAGAAGCAGGAACTAGTTTGCTAATGGCCGCATACTACAGACCTTTTCCTGTATTTGCATATATATCTAACGGTTGATTCTTTTCTGGGGGGGAGAGGGAGGAGCTCTTTAATTTCTACTTGCAATTACTGTTGCATGGATTTTGTGCCTGATGGTCAAGGGAAAGATATTTTTCCCCATGCTATTCTGGAGCAAAGGAAGGTGTGTTTGGGGATCCACAGGCTTGAATTTTTACCTGTGTAGTACACACTGCTGTTGATGTTGGTGGTTATGTTTATTATTCTATCTTATATTGTTTATACATTGAAGTATCACAAAATCTACCTCGAATGTATGGAGTCAGAGTTGTAGGCTTTTTTTGTAAACTATTTTGTTGTTCTTTCTAGACTCTGAAATGCACATTACTGTTACTGGATTGCAACAATCTCTACTTGCACTAACACTGGATTTTTTAAAATAGTATGCTGATTTAGAATTGAAATACTGGGCAAATACTGATCTGACAAAATCTTGGAAAAAATCTGTATTTCTGCCATGCATAGCTTTGTACTTTTTTCTTTGAACTTTACCTTTTACAGAGGAGTTTAGCTTTCTCTTTTACATTCTTAGTGTTTATTTTTAAAATAAACTTGAAGTAATCAATCCAAACATCTTCCATATCCATAGAAATAGAGGGAATTAAAAGCTGTAGTAAGCTGAGAAGTATCTAGTATCCTGCAGGATCGAACTCTGGATGGTGACTAAGCTGCCTATTCTGCCAGAAGGCTGGCTTTGCCTATTTCCTTCAACATTCCCTTCTTTGGTAATGAAATGCAGATATTGCTAGACTAGACCACTTCATTGAGTCAGAGGTTGTGTTTTATATTCAACAAGAGATTGTGTAGGATTTATTTTGCTCCTTTTGAAAGCAGTGCCAATACCACCTGCCCCATGAATAATCTCAAAATTCTTGGTAGTGGCAGAGGTGATGCATAAAGGTACCTTGAATAAGTGCTTATTTGCTTTATGAACTGACTTTCAAAATGCCAACTTCCTCTTTTCCCTTCAGACAATGTTGCCCTAGTTTAACTTGATTAACTTGTTTATCTCTTCTGAAAAAGGTAATAGTGCTGATTTTGATAATGAAATTCCTTTTGCCAACAGGGAAAATGTGGGGAGAAGGGGGGAAGGAATCCTTTTTTGCTTATAAAACTACTTTACATTAAAACTTTTTTGCAGGATAGCTGTAGGATTTTTTTCTTGCTCACAACTGATTCTGCTGGCAAATTCCAAAGAGAAAAATTGTAAACATATTTAGCTGTTTAGAAAGGGACAAGGCATTTAAACAGCTCCAGAAATCAGGAATATCAAGACACGTTGAAGCAGTAAGACCTTGACCAAGTTGCTTTGTTTTGTTTAATTTGAATATTTCTACTTTTGTCATCTTGCTTAATAGCCTAAATTGGTGGATAAGTCTAGACACTTCAGAATGGCTACACGTTTGTCGCTTGCCAACTACCTGGCACAAGACATAGCTGTGGCAGAAACAAAAGTGCAGTACCAATGAACCTGATTGAGGATGTGTTCTAACTTCCTATTTAAAAATTACTTGACTCATTGCAATGAAAACTGCTTATCAGACTAAAGCTGAGAGGGTTTCCTTGCTGTGGCAATTTGAGCTGTGAAAATGGGAAATCTGTGCTTTAAGAGCAGTTGTCCTGGAACACTTTGACTGCTACACTAGGACTTTACCAGATTTTTTTTTTTAAATAGGAAAAGGGGACAGTATGTTGCAAACATGGGTGCAGAGCCAAGAGGACAGCAACATTTACACTGCAGAGCAATCCAAATATATAGCCTTCATATGATAGGATAGATGGATCCTGTTATTGCTTGGGTAGTGCTAGCAATTACAAAATCATGATTTTGTAAAAGGTAAAATACTCTTGATTTTTGTCCCCTGATATAAGACTTCAGATTCAGAGACTTTTATGTAACTTTGCTGAAACTGCAACTCTGCAGGCAGCTGAGACAATACAAAAGCCTGTATTAGTAAAAAGGGAGGGGCGAAGACAGTTGTCTCAACACTCTCCTCTGCCATCCCACACCTATCATCTCATTAACACTAAGCAACATCTGTTGCCTCTTTTAAAAATTCAGTTAGTTCTTTGTTTCAAATTATTTATGAGTAGGCAAGCCTGCAGTAGATCATTCATTCATTCCAAACTAAAGTAGCTTCAGTCCATATATAAAACAGTGGAAAACTATAACGCCTACCTTCACAGCTAGCAAGGTTTTTATATGCGTTCGAACGCTTAAGTGATTATTTACTTGTCTCTTGTCATATATTAAATGCACAATTCTCAAGCTATAGAGAAGATGACTTTTAAAAAGAATGTACATGCTGCCTACCCCTAGCTGCATGTCCTACCCTTTTGAAGCTTTTTTTCCAAACAGGTTGTGACCTAAGCTCTGAGAACCGGTTTCTAATTTAGAGAATCAACCTTCCAGGTGAAAATGATTCTGCTTTTGGTGTTATCTTGCAGGCTGTGATTCAAGAGCCCTTAAAAATACTCAACAGTGTCACATGACCTTTTAGGAAGTTGGTTGCTGAATTATATTATAGCACCTTATGAATAGCTGACAGACCAACGTGCCTGAATAAAACTGACTGAAAATGCCGAAATGTTTACAGTGATGTAGCTTTGAGACTAAGCATGGAGAAGGAACAACTCCACAAAAATGTGACAGTTCGTTAGTGTTGTCAGGATATTGCATGCTGTACCAGATACTGATCATTGAGCTGGTAGGCTCCTTTTCTTCCCTTTCATAAGAGTTGGACATGGACAGTCCAGTTAATAGCATTAGAGCCAGGCTTCTTGTCATCATCTGTATACTAATAATGGGATGTTAGATGCATTTCAAATTATTTCCATGACATGTGTGCTAAAAAGCTATTTTGGCTTTTCCCCAACTTTTTACTTAAGGTACTTGTTCCTCTTTTCACTGTCTTTCCATTTGTGTAAGATAGAAAACTTCTGGCCTCTAGTGGAGACATGACACATCAACAATTAACAGAATATGCGGAGAAATGAGAACTGGATGGTTTTATTTCCTTTAGTCAAAGAGGTGTTGGATAATAGCAGCATAACATTAAAGCAGCAGCTTCTCTGATGCTCCTAGCAGAGAAGTTCTGAGTTTAAAACAACCACATGTAAATACATGTGGTTTAAGTTTCTGAGGACATTAAACTACATAGTTGAGAATTCCAGGAATTAGCTGGCAGTCTATTTTTCTGCAAATGGCAACTGTTTTGACTTTAAGCAGCAGAGCAGGTGAAAAATGCTGATATGCAGCCTCTTACACAGAAGTAAGGAGTAAAATTTACTGGCCAACTTCCATTTTTGAAAGGTTGACTCTAATCTCATTGTTACAACTCTTCTATGTGCCCTGATATATATTAAGGAAGGAAATGGAACTAACTCCAAGATGTGTGCTTATTAGAGCTCTGAATTTAGAAATTAAACCACTAGTAAATAAAGGAATAGAAAAACCACTAAACTTGCATGCATATTTTCTGCATTTTGAGTGAAATGAAAATGTCTGTCTTAATTGGAAAGAAGTGATTATGACCTGCTATAGTTTGAAAATGGGTTTTGAGCTGCTTATATGGGTGTGTTTCTAAGTAGACTCTGCTTTACAGAACTTCTGTCTGCTTTGGCTGTGTTGACTATTTGTGCTTTGGGTTTTTTTGAGAATCATTTTGGTTGTTTCTCTTTTGTAAAGGACACCGAAGCCATGAAAAGAGCTTTAGCTTTAATAGATTCAAAGATGAACCAGGCAAAAGGTTGGCTGAGAGATCCAAATGCACCTCCAGGTAATAATGCAAAAAACCCCCCAAAACAGCACAAAATATTCTGATTTTAGAGATCTGATTCTGTGGTGTAAGGCAAAATTATCTTTAAGCATTAATAACTCATACATAGTGGATCATTCTGAATTCTAAATACATGCCTGTATTTATTTATTCCTTTCTCTAGATACTGGAGACTGAACAAATTGTGTCTAATGATCTGGAAAGTTTTTCTTCTAAGTTGTCCAAAGAATTTATTTTGTATAACTTACATAGTTTGTCTTTGCATTCCGCTAGTAAAAACAAAACCATGTAAATTGCATTGAATGATATTTAACTGCAGTGGTTGTTAATACTGAACATCCTTCCTTTTGTATTTTCAAATTTGTATAACTTCAGATTTTTCTAACAGTCATCTCTTTAACTGGTTTTCTTTCAATCTTAATAGAAAATTTTTAATATGAAAAGCGGTCATAAATACCATAACTACAGTCTCCATTACTTATATAAAGGTTTTGCTTTTGTGTATGTCTTTAAAGCAAATAAAACCAGATAGAGGCCTGTTCCATTTGGACTTTGAAAGACCTTATCTGAAAGACTTCCTCTGAAATGGAATCCAAAATAATACAGTTGTAAAAGTTGAAAGTGAATTGTTGTTATCTGTGGAGCTGGTGCTTATATGACCTCTGACCACATTTCCCTTGCCCCACTCAATTCCAGAAATGTCAAAGTTATTTTCAAAGCCTTCTGTCTTTGACACTGACAATTAATGAAACAAACTATTAAAAATTCAGTAGCTAAGGACAAATGCAAAGATATTTATAGAACTTAGTGCAAATCAGATTTTACTGGATGTGTTACTTTAAACTAACCTCATAATACATTAGTCATCTGAGTGTTCCTTCTGGTAGCACTTCTTTGAGCCAATTTCATTATAATTTCATGGAAGAACCAGTACTTTATGGGTACTGGCACCTCTACTATCCATAATGCTGGAGGATGGGATCAGGGTGGGTTGCAAGTAAAAGGAATGTTGTTCTTGCATGTTCTTTAGCCAAAATCAAGTCAGACTTGCAACTGGCTGAAGTTAAGGCTATGTGAATCTTGCCATGTTGCTTTTTACCTTTTCAACCTGAATTACAGATTCTATAAATGAAGTATTTATAGAAATTAAGTTATGGTAACAGAATGATTAAATAACTTTAAATACATGGCACATGGTGCACGTTAAAACTGTGCTACACTGTTTCAGACATACTGTTTATTATAACTGTCACATTTAATGTATGTCATAGTTTTTGATAAATGTATTTTCACAGCTGAACCTGATGCAGTTAATGTGGTGGTACATGAGACTAGCAGTTTACTCATACATGCCAAGGAATGTCTTGTTTGTTTTACTAACTGACCCTGTATCTTAGGGGATGCTGGTGAGCAAGCAATAAGGCAGATTCTTGATGAAGCTGGAAAAGCAGGAGAACTGTGTGCAGGCAAAGAACGCAGAGAAATTCTGGGAACATGCAAAACACTGGGCCAGATGACTGATCAACTGGCTGACCTCCGAGCTAGGTAAATCTGTTGCTTTTAATGGGTGATTTTCTAGTACTATTAAAACAGTTTTTCTGAACTTGCAGTTGAGTCACTTCCTAACTTGAGGGAGAGCAGGCCAGTAGCTGTATTTTACCTTTTTTTACTTCAATCTTTTCTGATAAGAATTGTATTTTTAAATATGTGAAATCTTAATTATATAACATGATGAGCAAAATTGCTCAGGTAAATAATTCAGAGTTTGTTTAATGTCAAACACATAACCTTCCTCCAAATAAGGCAGAAATGAACTTTTAAACTCTACTGTTAAGTCTGCTCTCCAAAGAGGATATATCCCAATTACTGTACAATACATGAATATTCTGGGTTTTAGGTGTTTATTGGTATGTTAGACCACAAGCAGTGGCTGTTGAAGTTGTTTATCAGTCACTGATAAATTCTGCTGAACTTCATATGTGGTTTTTGCATAGACTTTTACTTAACCAGAGCCCTTTACCAGTTTTCTGCCTCCTCCTTAGAAATTCGTTATTCTTTCACAATGGTTTCTTGAATTCAAGGGGGTTTGGTTTTAGGCAGCAGATGAGTCTCTTTAAATTTCAATATTTTTTTGATGTTAGGTACTATGGCCTTTTCTTTTGCCAGAGAATAGAAAGTATGATATTCCTTTGTGAGGGCATAAAGACGAGGTAGGAAATAACTAATTCATGTAGTTTGAACATGATAGCCCAGTTTCCTTTAAGTATAAGGAATTTTTCAGCTGCTTATCAATGTAGTCATTAAGCTAGAGTGCTCTGACATTGGCTTCTTTATTTTGTTGTAATATTCTTCCCCACCCCTCAAAAAACCCCACCCAGAAACCCTAGAAAGCTATTTAGTGCAATCCATTAGGGATATGGGTAATGGTTTCATGGTATAATATTTTCTCTTGAATGTTAATGCATCTTTCAAATTGCTAGAAAAAGCATTAAAAGTTAAGAGGTTTTTATTTTTTTTTAAAAAAAAAGCTTTTAGGTAAAATAACTGCCTTTTCTGACTTAAGGCCCTAGTGAAGTGCAGGAAGTGAGCAAATACAAATTATTTGGGGAACTGTGATTTGAGTTACCTTAAGAACAAATTCCCTGCCATCACTTTAAATCCACAGACCACCAGGCTTTGGATGTGCTGTGATGATAGGTACACAAGTTTGGAATAGTTCCATAACTTATTTCCATGAAGAGTCGTTAGTTTGCTCAAAAGCTAAAAAGGCCAAAATTCAGAAATACTGGTTATACCGTCATTAAAGAAGTGATGTATATTAGCTATAATAGTGGTAGTGGATGAGAAGCTGGTTTTGGTTTATCTTTACTTGGATTTCCAGCTGATTGACCTGAGAGAATGTAAGAGCTTCTTTGTACCATTTTTTGCACAGAGCGTTAGAAACTTAGTCTAAACTCTTACTCTTCTTGTAAAGCAGTGGCTGGTGTCAGCTTTGTAGTGTTTGAAATTTTTTGAGGTGGAGGAAGACAGGACTAAGATTTACTAGCAAATGAGTTAATTTGTATGCTGTCTTAATATATAAGTAACTTCAACTCAGCCTATGAGAAATAAGGTATAAAGAAACTTATATTGAGACTCTGCCCTGACTCTGTAAATACACGTTAGCATCTCAGTACCATGCTTATCAAACTACTAACTTTAAAAAGACTATAGTAAGTGGAAGGATGACAAAGTTAACATGCTCAAAAAGCTTTCCAGTAGTCAGGGTATAGTGGAATGGAGTGTGAGATTTCTTATGCAAAACTGATGTTCTAGGGTGTATGTTTTTGAAGTAATCTTTCTATCCAACTTTTAAACTCCTAAGCATTTGAAGAAACAGTGGTGGTGCTACAAATTGTTTTATACAGTCCTGTAAATTTATATTGCTGGCATCCTTTTCACAATTTTAAGAAGTCTTACTAATAGCCTGTAACCTTTAGTCTACTTTGACAGCATGACTGAGGCAACTAAGACATCTTATTTTCGCTTACAGGCTTGCTGTCCTTACTTAGGTATGGCGAGACACAACTTCTGCAGGTTCTGACTGACTTGCAGCAATCTATAAATGAGAAGATAACAAGCCTTGCCCTGGGTGCTTTAATGGAGCTGCATCCTCAAATAGCCTTACTTTGTGACACTTAAAAAATGTTTGTTCTTCTGAGGATGCTACATGTCACATTCTGGAAAGAGGAAAATACGCTCTTAGTTTTAAGCTCTTCTTGTGTGGTGTTCCTCCTCTAGTTATTTTTGTTTACTCGGGGGGGGAAAAAATCTGATTAAATACTAGATCTCTTGCAATGATTGCTGGGAATGCTCATAAACAGTTTTTCTTACTTCATTAGAAAAGAGTTTTGCTCAATCCTGAGCTGAATCTGTGATGCTCTTTGTGTCTTGTGCAGAGGACAGGGGGCTACACCCATGGCGATGCAGAAAGCACAGCAAGTGTCACAAGGTCTGGATTTGCTCACTGCAAAAGTGGAGAATGCAGCCCGCAAATTGGAGGCCATGACAAACTCCAAGCAGGCAATTGCTAAGAAGATTGATGCTGCTCAGGTACCACTAATGATTTAATAAATACTTTAGAACGTAATTACATCACTGTTTTTAGAGCTGTTATATTGAACTATTGTTGTTGTTTCCAAGCACAACACAGTTGCTCGTTAGGAAGAACATATGGAGATACTTGCTTTTACAAAGAAAAATCTTCAATTCAGTAACTTAGTGCTGTGAGTTTTGCTACAGCAAAAGTTATGAAATTAAAATGAGGAAACACCCTAAATTTGGACATAAACTGATCTTATTAAGGAAAAGAGTAGAGGAGTTTCAGACTGCACAGATTTACTTGTGGGCAAAACCAGAGCCCTTTCCTTGAGCTCTGTTGTGGGAGTGGAGTTCAGGATTTAGAACTTCATATTCAATGACAAATGCAAAACAATGTTAATGAAACTACTTTTTTCTTGTAGTTGATCCTTTATTTTTCTAACTCTCAAAATCTCCCTCAGTGGTCAGCCTATTACCCAGTGATGATGATGGTCATCAAATAATGAACCTTCTATATATACCTTAACTAAAAGTGTGTAAGTGCATATAATTATATATATAAATATA